AAACTTGTGTTATGCAACAGGAGAAAGCTTCAAAGCGCACTAACAAGTGGAAAGTTTTGGATTGTCAATTAAGGGGCAAATCCTTTTTGGCAGCACTGTGGATTTTAATAATGCCACAAATCCTTCTGGACTTATATCTGTGATTATAAGCTGCCGTTTCATCCATTTGATCCGTTTTAATTTTCTGTTCCTACTTGCTTTCTGTTTTGTTTTCTATTTTTTACTGTTAAAAAAAAAAAAAGAAACGTGGCTTCATATGCCACATTCGCACAAACATTCAAAACTGACCATGTACCAAAATGGTCAGTTTTATACATTTATGACTAAAGTGGATTATGTATTTATCAGGCTTTGGTTTTCACAGCCAGTTAATTTGAAAACATCAAATTTAATTTTTTTGCATCATTTTTGCTTCTATTTTTACATTTTAATAAACATTATACAACAGTTCAAAACTACATTAAGCAGATATCAACAATGTGTTGTTATTTATAAGAAAGTTCAGGACAAATTATACATCATTCTGCTTATGATTTGAGAAAATAAAAATGGCAGTGCCTTCCGTTTGCAAACCATTGATTAAATTTATTAATTAAAAAATATATATATTTGTTCCAGTGTGCTTTGCTAGTTACGATTATAATACATTTGGTAATCATTTGTCTAGATAATACGATCCAGATTCATATTTAGATCTGATTTTTATATGTGACTGGATGTTAAAACTCAGCTTTAACATACAGTCTAACAAAAGCAAAAATACTTACACTTTAATTTTAAGGTTTTTAGTATTTTTGTAATGATCGGGATGTATTTGGAGTTTACTTGTTTTTTTTCTCATCAGCTTTTTGATTTTCCCACTTGGTTTTTGTTTAATAAATACTGCCATGGTGGAACCTGCAGTCCGTCACCCTGGCAGAAGGTAAACTTTCTTTTACCAAGACTGCAGAGTTGAACTTTTACCTTCAGTTTCTTAAATCAAAAGTTGTAGCTCACCACTGCACTAATGGATGTGCTGTTTGTGGGAGCATTAGCATATAAAGCGATTTAGATTACCAGAAGTCCAAAACAATCAGATTAACTGTGCTGCTTTTACGAGTCAGACCAAAGACTTCTGCTTTATTTGTGTTTTGATATGACTGATGTGAGTGAAATTAGGCTCGCAGCATTTCAAACACTCCGCCGTGGTGTTCCTAAACTCCATCATCATGGCCTATTAGCTGCAGTGAGAAAGCCAATAATGTGTCCACGGTTTAGATTTACTTTATGCAAAAGATAAATCACAGAACTGAGTGAGCCTCCTCTTTTTATACGCATGTAATATCATGTCCAAAACTCCGGAACATAATCCATTTGAGGAGTTTCATCTTTCGCTGTGTGGCCAAAAGTGATTTCCTTCACTGAGAGCACTGAAACGTGATTATATCAGCTGCGTAGTTCAACCCAATTTTCAGGATGGGATGCGTTCTCATTGAAATAGCAAAGACAGCAGAAACATTAAGTCATAAATTTGCGGAGATGTTTCAAACCCTGATATATCAAAGAGATTTACGATTTAATGATACTATGTAAGAAACTTGGAGAGCAGGTTTGCTCTCAGAGGAGCAGCCCATTCAGAGGAAGAACAGAGAGTACATGAGGGGATTAAGGTGCCATTTGTTGCAACTGTATGTACATGAACGCTTACTTCCACACATCCTACAGTACAACCGTCTGACCTATTTCAGTGTTTGGTGTCCTAGATTCTGTGCCTTTTTAACAGAAAAGAAACGTAGGGAGATGTGTTTTGCTTCACTCTCAAACAGGTTCGACTTCTGATCGTCTATTTGTAGTCCCTTCTTCCATATTTTGTTTTGTATGGTTTGTCTGACTGTGTTTTCAAGGGGGGGGTCAAATCAAGGCAGTAGTTACGTAACCACGAAAAAGCCACGAAATAGACATAACTGTAAAGTGGAAGCAAAATCTTTTTTTTTTCTTTTTTTTTGTAGTTAGCCTTTTTTTTTTTGTACTCTGTTGCTCAGTAAAATGTAATGTAACCTTCACAAGTCACCTAACTAGTAAAAGTGTGGCACAATTAGAGCGTATTAATTAACTTTAAAATGTCACCGTTGGGATGCTAGTCAACGGCTGTTCCCATTTTTTTCCAGGAGTTCCCAATCTGCTAGATGATCTGTGGATGGGGCTGGAGATTAGGGTGATTAGGGTGATGAAAAGGAGACCTTCTTGTTACGTATTTTGCCTGAGGTTGTCACAAATAACTGATGACAAGACGGTTGTCATCATCTCTGATGCAAGTCAAGAGTTACTGTAACTAGAAATCATGTGGTTTCTGTGAGATTATGATCGCTGTCTTAGCAGCGTCTCATATATTACCACGGATCAGCTTTAGACCTAACACTTTATTGGAGAATATTTGCAAAAGTCTGCCGTCTCTCTTACTGTAATTGCGCGTCCCAGCCCCGTAGATGTGCGCCGATTTGGCTGGTGTGCTTCCAGAATACACAAACAAAGGCCAGACCGTTTGTCTGTCTCCTGCCTTTGCAGAATCATAACGTTAGAAATGTTTCTTCACTCTTATAACACATGGTCATTACAATTTGATGAGACAGCTGTCTGACTGAGCATTTTGAAAGCGTGTCCCAACACTAGTCTCATTGTCTAGTCTCTGCAATTACTGAGTCCACAGCACTGTGCTCTAAAGTCTGTCGAAAGACTGGGACATCAAACGCCATCATGAGATTTCTTCCCCCTGCAAAGACCAGTCAGAGCAAATCTGTGTCTTGATTGTTTATCTTGATGAAAACGCCTTGCGAAGTTTAAATGAGAAGCGCGTCTCCGTGGCAGACGGATAAATGAAAACCTCTATCAAAAAAAGACATCACTTCAGGGTGGAGCGACTCATTCCGGGGCGGAAAACTGTTGATTTTTTGAACTCATCAGCCAAACAAACACACCCATCCTGATCCACACAGAGCAGCTCCTTCAGAAGCTACTCCTCCCAGATTCATCAACACAGGTTGCCGCGGCAACAACACTAACAACCGACCCAAAGAGAAACATTCCGAGTGGGACATCCCTTCCTCACAGCGAAGCAGAAATATCACCAAAAAAAAAAAACCTTGACGCTTTAATAAATGTAAAGCGTCATGTGTGATGTAGTTCTTTTTACACTGTTTGTAATGACAGAAGAGAGAATCAGAGTATTACATTTTTATAGAAATGTAATACTTTTATCCATTTCAGTGTCAAGTCCAAAATATCTTCAAATTGTCAAACACAAATTATTCAGTCCAAAGGCGCAACCTGGAGACAGTTTACGCTACAAACAGGTCCAGTTCACACCAGTTGTACGGAATCCAGCTTGGTCCAAATTCAGGTCATACTAATTCAATCCAATTATATAATCAGATTCTGGATCTAGTTTTCTACTGTCCCATTCATTTTTAATTATAATGCGACTGCTTCTAATATATTTGGCCAATGATTGACAATTGGTAAGAAGTGAGCTTGATTGAATCAAGTCATTGACTTTGCAGCAATTCCTAACTCTTGGTGACAGAGAAAAAAAAAGAAAATAGCTTTCTTTAAGGCTTCCGTCAGAACCAGGCCAATGTCAGTGGAAACCGGCCGTGAGCAGCTCAGGAAGAAGAGAGAAGGGAAGCAAAGGACACCGGAGCACTGGAGCACGAGTAAAAAACAAAAAATTCATAGAGATTATTACTAGACTAGCTCTGTTGATGGCTACATTTCAGTGATAAACGGCTGAACACTGAAGCATTTAACGAGTAGTAATTGTCTTTGGGGAAGAAAAGCAATAGGTCAGTGGATTCCAAACAGGTCAGAAATCACTGGACCAGAGTTATAAGGAGAATAGTCAAAACAATCCATCATGCTGCCTCACTTACTGGGGACCTAGTTACCATGTTTGTGTGAATATCTAATTGATTTAATTGTGCATTAGTCTGTCTGCTGCAATAAAACCAACCCTATGATTCATCTGGTACTCTTCTAATGTTCTAGCTTTTGTAGCTTAGTAGAGGATTTGTAGAGTGCTTAATTTCTCCAACTTACTAGAGGTCTGCTCCAAATAAAACCAGAAGCAAACCTCTTTTTATGATCACCTTGTTTTTCGAGGGCTGCACGGTCTACTTACTCTGACGTGCAATGTTGTGCAACCTATAAAACTTCTTCTTGGTTGGTCGTGGATGCTGAACTTATGATCAGGGCACAAATCCAATCACATGCTCTGTGTTATACCAGTGCTTAATTTCTAGCTTTTACTACTACTATTGATTTAAGTTTGTACCAGGGGGGATTAGCCTTTTATGTTCACTTTAAAAATTGGTTGGGCAATGAGTAGTTGGTCCTCATCTCCTTATCATTTATTCAGACAAGAAAGACACACGTACATACAAATAAACATATTTAATCCTCTGTTTAGCTGTGTTTGCTAACTACGTTTCCCAATCACTACTTTTCCCCCCACACCTCCTTAAATTCCTTTTCTAATATTCTACTTCATCTGCTGTATTCGAGTCTTTTTCCATTCTCTCTCTCTGCTTCAAAACATCTAATTCGTTTGCTGTTCTTATCACCCCCTCCTGTTGACAATATTAACACAGTAGATGATAGCGTGCCTCCTAATTTTCGCTGTAATACCAGTACTCTAGCATGCCGTTTGAATAAGTAGGTCAGGACAACAAATTACTTTGCATTTTCATCTGCCTGCTCGGTTCCTTGCAGAGACCTGTGCCGTGAACAACGGCGGCTGCGACAGCACATGTCACGACTCGGTGACAGGAGTTCGCTGCAGCTGCCCTGTCGGCTTCACTCTCCAGCCGGACCGCAAGACCTGCAAAGGTAAATCGCTCATCAGCCGCACATCAGGGTGGCGTTCACACTGCACCTGTCCTGCTGTCATGAAATTAATTTCCTGAATGTCCTGTCGCCACGCAGAATAGTCCTCATCTCTCCTTCTGGAGTTTTATATTGATAAATACGCATCAAGATGTTTTCTGCTTGCAGTTATGGTTGTATTTTTTTTTTTTTTTTATTGCAATCTTGCATTACTTTCTGCTACTGAGAAGATTTTTTTTTTTTGAGAAGCATTTTTTTGAGACACCAGCATCCACACTCACCAGATACAAACCTTTGAATAGGTCTACTACTCTGCATGATATCTTCGATCGTATTCAACTCAAACTCTGTGACCACATTGCTGAGAAAAGTGAAACGATAGCAGGAAACCAGCAAACATTCTGTGATGAGGCCATCCCAAGTCAGACTTAAGTCTCAATCAACCTCTCAAGAGTTCATTTCAAAAATCTCTCTGTGTGCAGCAAACTTTTTTATTCTTAATTTAAAATTTTATTGCAAAAAGTTTAGTTTAGTTTTTTTCTCTACACCACAAATTTGCTAGGCTGCCTTGGGGGTCTTTTTTTTGTTTTCCATGCCTGGTTCAGTCCTGGAGTGAGAAACCACCCACATATACAGCAGAGCAAAAGTGGATTATTCCTCCATTCGAAAGAGGGACATAGGTGATTGGACTCTGGTGCAGAAATACAATCTGGTTCAGGGAAATCCAGCTTCTTGGCCCACGAGTTCGCTTGTCCTGCTATGTCACCACGGTTCTGGTATTAAAAAAAAAATGGTTGCAGGGACTCTCAATTCATTGTTCTTTTTTTTCCTTGTTAAAAATCTCCACCAAGTTAATGCCAAGTCTCAAAACTTAAAACTTCCTTTAAACAGAAACATCCAATAAAAATTATACATACATCATAAACCATTTTATTATGAACAATTAATGTTATCTTTGCTTATATGAAACTAGAGAAAAATATATAATCCTCTTGCTTCTGAAACTCTGACATTTCTTCAGTTGTCAAACTATTGGTAATGTTTTTTTTTTTGTTTTTTTTTTAAAGATGATGATTCAGATTATTTATGCTCTCTTATTCAGCTTAATAAAGCTCATTAACTACAAATATGATCCTATGTCCAATAAGCCATCAGCAAACTTTCTTCAGAAAAATCTAAGGAAATCCGTAAAACAAAGACACGATTGTTCCCAGAAGAGCAAACTTAGACGTCTGACTTGTAAGGTTAGATGAACACTGATAAAACCACAATGACTCGTATTAGTTTGGTTTGGGGGGGAAATGAGAGGAAAACAAACCCAGGTGGCATTGGCACAAGAAGACAGGCGCTTGCTTAAGGCGAGGCACTTCTAAAGGGATAGAGATGAACGGAGCGAGCAGGAGATTGATTCATTAATGCCACTTCTTATGAATGTATTCTAACCAGATGATAAAGGATCCATTGAGAAAAAGACACTACGTTTGTGGCGAAGATTCAGAATTCACCTCTTTAAAACTTTCCAAAGCAGATAGCAGTGAAAAGCCAGGATGAACAGATGACACATCAAGTCATTATCTCCGTTTAAAAGCCACACAACACATTGCAAAACAAAAACAAAAAGTAGATTACTTTCTGCTAAAACAGAACAGCAGTGTAGTGTTTAATTTACCGCTTCCTCTGCGGGTTTATCTCACCCTTTCAATCGCGACGAGTGATTTGAATTACCCACTGCTCATTTATTTGGGTTTTCTATTTGCAGACATTGACGAGTGCCGTCTGAACAACGGGGGGTGTGACCACGTGTGCCGAAACACCGTGGGCAGCTTCGAGTGCAGCTGCAAGAAAGGCTACAAGTTGCTAACCAACGAGAGGACATGTCAAGGTTCGTGGCGTGTTTGTTTTCATTTCTCGTTTCGTTTTCTGACTCCAAAATGTGTTTCGCTGCGGATAACCGCTGGTTTTCTTTTGTTGAAGCATTTTGTTGATTTGGATGTTTGCTTGGTTTCACGGTGATGCTAAAAACAAAAACTCATCTTCATCTTCCCGTTTCCAGCTGAAAACAACACTCCTCAAATATCCAGCCAGATTGAAGGCAAAAGCTGGTTAATAATCAGAAGAGGCATGAAACTGAGGAACAAAAGGATGATCACTCAAAAACAAACAGGGGTGTATTTATATATTTGAGCCATCAAGCTATAACGTTGACCCAGTGTGGATTAGAAAAAAAAAAAAAACACAATTCAAACTTGTACAACAGATTTCTGTTTTGTTTTGTGTTTTTATTTATGAAAGTTGAAGATTTGACTGGAACATAACTGAAGTTTTGGAATGGCATAAACCAAAGCTCAGACCAAATCTGTCAGATGATCTGTAGTAATTTGATGCAGAAGGCTCCCGGTAGTCTGTTGGATTTTGAGAAATTTTGCAAGACGGGGGGGGAAAAAAAATTCAGTTGGGAAGCTTATAACCATCAAAGACTGAAGGCTGAAAATGAATCAAAGGTGGATTGATAAAGTATTAGTTTAAAGGTGTGCACAATATGCGAATATGTCATTTTTATTTCACTTTATTTATTTTTCCCTCCCAAAAAATGTATTTTCTAGGTGAATTGTTGTGGATAAAAATACAAAAATATTTTTAAAGGATTTATCACAGTCTTATGTTTTTAAGTCAGAAAAGCCTGACTTTAAATCAGGTTTATTCCTATAGATTTTGTAATATTAATTTTTATTTCTTGTCATATTTAGATTAGAGAAGATCCATTATCAATAAAACACTTGTAGTGTTGTATTTTTAAGCGTTTAAGTGTAAATATATAAGGTTTACATCATTACATACGTCATTAAAAGGTCCATTTTAATTTAGCATTTATGTCTTGATGACTCTATGTAAAGCTTTTGATTAGAATATTTTTTTATATATATATATTTTTTGTATATCCATAGGATAACGCTTTATTTTAGGGAACACAAATTAAACATAATTAGCAGCTATTAATTTGCACATCAGAGACATAATGACTCTTCATTAGTCATCCTTAAGCAGTTGTTAATTGCGTATTTGAAATTGACCCAATTCTACATGTAAAAAGGCCATAAATTAGAAATTTTCTCAAGACGTCATCTAATTATGGCCTGTTGTCTTTGTAAGCTCTTATTAATGGATGGCACAAGGAGGATAACACCTATTTTTGTTTTCTTATTTAACACAGAAACAAGTTTCAAGTGTCTCACAGTGTTTCTTTTGAGACATTTTTATCGCTTTAGGTGTGAAAGAACTTGTTTATATAAAGACTTCCAGACAGCTTTCGGTTTTACATTTAAGCCGCTATGTAATTACTGGTAATATTCAGGAAAGAAAAAGAGGAAAATTGTTTTCACATTGTAGCTCCCCAGAATTTAATAAAGTGGATATTTTGACATTTCCTGACTTTTTTTTTCTTTTTGAGATTAAAGGGGAAGCAGACTAGTGCTTTGAAAAGCAACCCATTTGCTTCGGGGTGCAGCCCATCACTTGGTTGCATAAGCAACGTGCTCAAAAATGACTTTACAACGTGTCAAGAAGACTCAGTATTTGAAAAGCTATGCCAATTAATAAATATCAAAATAACAATGAATTAGCGACCTCACTTCAGAATGGAAAACCTCCTTTCACAAGGAAGGAGCTCATTGATTGCTCTCTGGTATCAGCTGTTGTAGTTTGGTGTTTTGTTGAATAATAAAACTCTTTTTTTTTAGATGTTATGAAGTTATTATCCTCATAATAAGTTAAATATTGAATAGACGTTACTAAGATCAGAGTTCATAGAGAACAGCTACTTTGCACTGGTATGATCTTTCTATTCTAATCACTGTATCTTTAAATTATAATCTTTTACAATATATTGTTAACAGAACATGAGTCTGCTGTTACACCTGAATTTTGCCTCTGGGGTTCTATTTATTCTACTATACATAAACATGTTATTTCCTTAAAACAAGGTTTTACGAATAGCTATAAAAAATGGATGGTAGCTTCTCCCTGGATGCTACAAAATGAGTTTTAGCGTTTTTGTTTTTTTTGTTGTTGTTGTTGTTTTTGCCTGCAGATACCAAAGTGAGCTGTCCTTACTTGTTTTGTTTTTTGGGTTTTTTTTTTTTACTTTTGATTGTAGTCACTGCTCAGCAGAAAACTGGTCATCCAGCTGGAGGGAAAATGAAGGTTTGTCACGGCTGGGTAAAAGGTTTGCTACGGCTTGGGTCCAGTTCGAAAAGCTCCACTAAGTCTTGGACGGATTCAGTCACTAGAAAACCTTGTGTTGAAAAGAAACAGGCAGACTTGAGACGTGGGGCAGATCTCAGCTTCTCTCCATGTGGAAAAAAGGATGACTTTTTTTCCCCTTTCCCTCTCATTGATGTGGTCAATCAATACTCAGCCTGGTTTGCATCAGTGTCAGGCAGTGGGTTTACAGCTGGTGCTCTTAATCACACCGCTCCCTATACGCTAGTTTAACATCTCATGTGGTCAGTAAAAATACAACAACAAAAAAAAAGGAAAGAGACTCACATTCAGGGCAAATGCCTTTCTGTCATTATTTGGTGCCAAGCAATGTAAAGTTTATTTAGCCACAATAACACAGATAAGTGAGAAAATGTGGTCCTTTCTTGGTAGGAATGTAAATCACAGCTTGTTTTTAGTGGCACGGTGCCATAAAGGAGTCAGCGGTGCACTGTTTGGGTGCACAGGGTCAGTGTAGGAACACTGTTGTCCTTGTTTGGTCCTGTGTGTTTTGTCTGGAGACAGGGGTTGTGATAAAGCTCACCTTGTGTTGAGTGAGATGCTGCCAGCTTCTCACACACACACACACACACACACACACACACACACACACACTAACTCCACAGCGCTGAGTCACCTGTCAGCCTCTTAACCTCTCTTCTCATTCCAATCATGTTTTCGCTCTTCTTGGATTGATGGAAAGAAAAAAGGGCGCAGTCTTTCCCGGTAAAGATTACATTTTATTCGTATCGGTTCTGCCTTGATTACCACAGGAATCCGTGGTGTCAGGATGTTGCACATTCATGATTAAATAACTGGCATATTGAAGAAGCAGGCTCATTAGGATGCAGAGGTTTCTCAGTGGGGAGTAAGTTTGAAAAGCATTGCATCTACACAAAGTTCTGTAAGCTACACATAGTTTAATTACATTTTCTTGTGTCATCTGTCACCACGTGTTATGTAAAAATTGATTTTTTTAAGCTTTACTTCATGTTTAATGTTGTTTTCTCATCAAAAACATACCTGGAGTGTTGCTTTGATTCTTTCATGCATGTTTTAGAAATCTTTGAATCTCCCGTGGCAACCATTTGGGTTTGTAAAACACCCGAGGAGACGAAGCTCCACCTTCCACGCGCAGCTCCTCTTCTGAGCAGCAGTTTCCAAATCGAGCTTCTGCATCTCAGTGCAGTGCACCCCTTCCCCACGACTCACCCACCCAGCTCCTTCAGACTAGCCAGCAGCAATTAGTAAGCACCTGGTGGAACTGTGCGTCTCATTACATGAACTATTTCTCTCTGTCCAGTTCTTCAACAAACATTTGTAGGCACTTAATAGAGGAATGATGATGTGATGATGTGCTGAAAGAACAGAAACCTAAAGAGACAGAGCCCCAATTTCAGTGTGTTAATCTGTGAAATTTCTTTTAAGTCATGTTTAATTTATACAGATGACACTACAGCGATTTGGAGGAAATCATGCTCGTCAAACTAAGTTAAACTTGAACTTTGCAATGGATGGATGGAACTACTGTCCTCCAATGACTTCCCCCATTACAAAAAAAGGACAGAAAAGTGATGTTTGTCATGAAGGACAAAATAAAACCTGACTCTAAAAGCCTTCAGATGTTCTGTTCGGGACAAATTGACACCACGTATTGCATCTTACCTAATCGGCAATAGCTGCATCTAAATCAAATCTGACAACCCAATTACGCAATACCTATTTCCTCCTGTGCTCTCTAAAGACGTAGCAACTTTTCATATATTTCAGGGAATTCAGACATTTAACTTGTCCTTCATTTTACCCTTCTTGCTTGGCTGCTTGGCTCATTTCTGTTGGCGGCCGGGGCATTTGCCACAGCGTGCAGCTCAGCAGCACGGCTGAGCATGCTCTGTGCAGTCACAAACCATCACCACATGTTGCAAGCCATTTGAAACGGTGGTTTTCAGAGAGCAGTGGAGCGCTTGTCATGTTCTGTAAGGCCCATTAACGCATTCAGACTTCAGGCTTTTCTTTTTTTTTTTTTTTCAAAAATAGTCTAAAACCTGAGGGTTTTCTGGAAAATTGAAAACTGTCCACTGAAACCTTTTATCTTAGCCTTTGAAGAAACAAAGAAATAAAAAACATGTAAAAGGTCAACCCTTTGGCTTTTGCTTTTATTTGAATATAGCAAAAAAAAAATAAAAAATCTGAGAATAATCTTGCGTCAGGCCTGAGATCCGTCCATCCATCCATCCGTCCGTCCATCAGCTTATCTCACAATCAGGTTGTGGCGGCAACAAGGACACCCTTACATCATTCTCCCTAGAGACACTCTACAGTTTGTTCTGAGGAATCCCTGGTCATTCCTAGGTTTGATGGGAAATGTAGTCCATTCAGAGTTCTCAGTCTGCTTCAGGGTTTCCCTGGAAAACCTACGGAAGCGTATTGCTATCACGCAGGGGAAAAAAATTTCG